TAAAAAACGAAAATTATTAAATAATTAATTTGATACTAATATCGATTTATTTTTTTCAATTTTTATGTTATTTTTAAATTTATATTTCATTCAAAAATAAAAACATTATTGTTTTCTCAAAAGCACATATAAATAGTATTATATTGATAGAGAAAAATAATAATTACACATTAAAATGAAGATTTATCTCGTTTTATTGCGTGAGTACTCTTCTAGTATATGCAAATAGAAACATTATTCACCTTTAATATTATTGGTAATTTATTTATTTCGATGAGTAAGGGGCCGTTCACCAAACGTTTATCCGGGTAAGTGCTTACCAAGTCACGTTACCTCACCGGATGAATATGGTAAGGACCAAGAATCTTACACAGTAAGTGATGACGACTACTCTTACCACGGTAAACGCTTACCGGGTACATTGTTGCATACAATGTCGTTTTAGTGGACTAAAATCTTACCCGATAAGTAAATGATATAATTAAATTTTACTGGTAAACACTTACCGGATAAGTATTTGGTAAATGGTCCCTAAATAATATATTTCAAATAATCATAAGACTTGTATAATGGTATTATATTCCCTAATGATTTCATTTCTTTTGGTAGATAGGAATATTTAGCAGATAAAAATTAATAATTTTATTTTGAGAAATTCCAATAGAAAAAGGTATCAAGTTTAAAATTTTGTAATGATAATAAATAAACAGATAAAACAATATAAATGTATAGATTTCAACATTATAATGATATGAGGGGTAGAATAGACAATTACATATATTTAAACATTTATCAATTTACAAAACCAATAGTATTAATTTTGATTTTAAATTTCAACGTTACATCTCATCAATCAATCAGAAATGAAACAATATTTCAAAATTTAACATTTTCTAAAAGAAAAAACAAAACAATATATAATGCATAATATTTATTTACTTTCATTATTAGTTTTTTATGCTAAAAAATGATATCTATTTATTTTCACCCTAAAAATCATCAAATTCATGAGTGAGGAATAATACAACATTATTTTGGCAAAAATAAGTTTCATATTCATTTACAACGTGTTTGATGTGTTATGTGTACGTTTATCTGTGCAATATATTATTTTTAAATGTTGGACATTGGTCGAATGGAGTTAGAAACCTGGTTCAACATGTACATTACAAATCTACATGTATGAGATACTGGTTTCTATTCCAACAAAAATGCTAGCAAAAGTAGGAATTCAAATTTTTTTGAATGATGTTTGCTTTTATAATGGATTACGACGCTCGTTCGAAAAGGGAAAAAGTGTCCAGTGTATGCAAATAAATGCTTAATATCTCAAGGGTTGCAGTTTCATAATTACAAGAAAACTACACCTATTCAACACACTAAAATTAAAGTAGTATTATCATAAATTAATAATTATATTTAATGATTTTAAGTAAATACAACTTCGATAATTAAACAAAACCTTTTGTCAGTTGTACATTGTTTTGTATATTATTATCATTACAGTATTGATATGATTCCTATAAAATAGGAGACTAAGGAGTAAAGAAGTCGGTTCATTAATTAAATTGTATAGTATGGTCATTCAATTTGCAATATCTGTGCTGTTATAATTTCATTTATAGTACCTACATATTTACACACCACAGTTCTTTATCCACGTTCTTGTCTGTTAAATTTTTTGAAACGTCATGCTCATAATGTTTCCCTCCAACCACGCAACCCTAATGTGTCCCAAGTAATCTATGTGTTTATAAACATTATTATATTTATATGTTTACAACTTTCTATGTCCTTGAACTAAATCTTTAAAGACTCGTAACGTCTCATCCCACTCCCAACCTCTTTTTTAATTCATCTCCACCAGCTATTCACCCCCTTAACATATTTGGACCACTTTTCAACTTTAATCCATCAATGCATCAAAGTTTCTACATATAATAAAGAAAATGGAGATACTTTTATTGGATGCATTTTGTCTTTTGAAGAATAAAAAAACGAAAAAACCCGTTATGATAGTAAATGATGTATATATATATATATATATATATATATATATATATATTTGAAGTATATATAATATATATACAGAATAGACACACACACACACATTTTTCTCAAATTTAGTGATATTTAACTGTTAATCAATAAAGAGGTTGGACTCTACTGGTAATCTGGATCCTCTTAGACAAATGACCGTATGATTGATGAAATATTGTTCTCAATCATGTTAAGTCATAATCTAATTAATGTTCATTTATTGATGGTGTATTGGGTATTTGTCATAGTCTATTTTAGGTTTTTGTTGGTGTTAAGTTTTGATAAATTGTTTTAAAATAATTGAGACCATATACGTAAAAGGTGGGTGATGTCTACATCTAAATTTGCAAATATTTTTTTAAAAATAACAGTTTTCCTTTTAACTGATTTATACAGTTCTAGCCTATAGCTTTAAATATCTTACATACAAAATGGTATGTGGATTACAGACAGAACCCAACTTCACAGAAGGGTCAATAGTTCAAAGCTCGTCAACTATGACAAATGTGGATGCTTGAGTATACATACACATATATAATCATACTTATTGTTAATATTACAGTAACGAAATATCTATATTGTATATGTAATATCAAATACAATTTATTTTTTTAAATTTTAAATACATAAAACACTTTAATGGTAATAAAAATAACATGTGAAAATAATAAATTTGAGGTGGGGAAAGACATTAAGCATTTCTTGAGCTATTTAGGCAACTTGAAAAAGAAATATAATAATTATATATAAAAACCCCCAAAGCTTCTCAACTCCAAACCACTTATTTCCCCTTCCAACATCATTCTTCATGTCACCACTTGATCCAATCTTTCCATTGCTTGTATTCCCTTTACACAAAAACAAAAGAACATGGAACCAATTATTTTATATGACATAATATATATTATTGTAGCTCAGTTGGCAAATAGGTATGATAACTTTGTTCAAATACAAGATAAGTTCGGGTCTAATCTAGCATCAGTCGTTGAGTGAGCCAATAAATGTCCCTTTACATCGATGTCCTTAGAGACGGACTTAGTGCGGGACTGGTTAAGGTTACCGATATTTCAACTTTTGCCCAAAAAATTTCAATAATATTTTTTTTAATATGTATGCTACAAATATGGAATTGAAAATGTGTGGTTGTTTTATACAATTATACTTTATATAAGTACTTGGTAATGAAATTTATTATACTGATTGATATGAAATGATAATTACAGTGTCTTATTTGTTTCAACTATAAATTAAAACAAAAAGAGAATTAACGTAATCTTATCAATCATGCACGTGACCTTTATTAGAAATTAATGGTATTAACGAATATAGATGTCCCACATACAAGAAGACGAAATAAAACACAAGTTGATGAAAAATGATGATTAATACAGCTGTTATTGATAGTTTATATTTAATTTGATTAAAATTAAATAAAATCAATATAAACAACATGAATGTTTTTTTTTCTTTAAATATATAATGAGAATGAAAGTATGGTTATTTTGAGAATTTAAGCTTACTAAAATCTATAATTTTTAGATTTAATAATATTTAAAAAAGTATTTAGATAATTGAATTTCTTTTAAAAATACGAAGTAGTTATATCTCTTGTAAAAAAAAAGAGAAGATCTATATTACCTGGTACAACTATCGTGCCGTTCTTGTTAGCATTTTTACCGTAATCTTCAAATATCTTTGCTTCAGGAGAGTTTGGAGTCAAGTTCATAAGCTCTGAATAACATCAAACGAGACGATTAAAAGAAGCAAACTTTTGTAGCATTTCACTATACGAAGATCAGACCCACAAACACATAAAGATAAAAGAAACCAGACCCACAATGCATACAAATCATAGATTCAACCATTGCAGGTAATGTTCGTACTTTGATTAAAAAAATGATTATTGTAAGTGCTACTTACTAGGACACTCAGTGATATTAGAAGGCACATGACAAGAATCAGGTAATCCCAACGCGAGGGTGGCGTTGATCTTAAGTCCGAGATTGGGATCATCACGGTCCTTGATCAAGATGCATAAACAAACCTTGCTCTTTTGCAAGACCGGCTTGAGCCCAGAACAACAGTCCATGGTTGGAGCCTTGGCCTGACCACTGACGTAAGGAAGGCAGGTAGCTAACCCAATCAGTTGGTCCGCACACTTGTTTTTATCTTGGTCAAAGTCTCCCTTTGATGAAGCTACAAGCACCATGACCACGGTTAGCCATGGAAGCAACCCATATTTCGAACCCATTTTCAAAGAGACGAATGAATGTGTTGAAAGAGGGTTAGATGTTGGAGGGGCTATTTATGCTATGAAAATGATTGGGGGGGTGGTAATTAAGAAATATTTATATTAAAATGAAAGGAATAATTTATTTATAAGAAAAATACAAATTGTTTTAGATAAAATAAAAAGGTGGTAAGGGCACCCGTGAAGTTAAAGGGGTGTTCTCTTTGTCTTGTCATGTGGATGTGTTTGGCCCCGTGATAATTTCGAGATTTATGCCCATAACCACATTTTGAATTATTTATTAATGTTTCTTATTTATAACCCATGTGTTTTTCCTACTCTCATTAATATGTACTAGAAATGTACTTGTGAAATGTATCGAGATATATTTTTATTTCAGTGTTTTGTTTTATTATTTGTTTATGTCGATTTTATATTACGATTTTGTATGACTTTCATAAAACAATAATGTTTTTATATTTGAATAAAATAGACCATATAAAAATTTACATCGATATTAATATCAAATAATAATTT